TTACAGGTGTGCGCCACCATATCTGGCCTGCCTTCATTCTTAAAGGACCACATTGGAGCATTTGTAAACTCTTATAAATTCCCAGCTGCTTGTGGGTGTTTAGGTGCCATAAAATTTGCTGCCCTTCTTTCTGCCCCGCCTTCCCTCTCCTCTTTTTCTTCTGTCACTCCTTCCCTGTCTGTCTTATTCCCCTCCCTCCTTAGGGTCTTTGCACTGAGCTATATCTTGCCCCTCATCTTTGCTTTGGAGGATGGAGTCACACCTTGTAGTTCAGGCTGGCCTTGAGCTCACTGTGTAGTCAGAGTGGCCTTGAACTTGTGGCAGTCCTCCTGCCTCAGCCTCCCGCATGCTGGGATTACAGGTGTGTACCGCCATGCCCAGGTCTCTACAGACTCTCTTGGCACAGGAGGTATTAGGACCTCACATGCTTTGAATTTGTAGTTCGTTATCTGCTGCAGGCCCGGTTGCTCCATCCCCACATCATCAGTAGGGCTTATGCTTCTCAGCCAGCAATAGGGGCTTCCGTTTCTGTGCCGACTTCATGTACAGGAGTTGTTTTTCCTTTAGAAAGATGTGTTCTCTTCCTTCAAAATGCTTATAGTCTGCCTTAGTGGAAAAGGATGGAAAAGAGTCAGCAGCTTTTGCTCTTAAGCAAACCTCTTTCTATTCTACCTTTGCTTAGTGCTTTATTTTTTTATTTTTTGTCTTTTTGAGACAGGGTCTTACTATGTAGTTTAGGCTGGCCTTGAGCGTAGCCCAGGCTGGCCTCAAACTCAGAATGATGCTCCTGCCTTAGCCTGCCAAGTGCTGGGATTACAGGCGTGCGCCATCAAGTCCAGCGGCTTAGTGCTTTAGATTAGGGACCTACTTTGAGGTCTGAACAAGCCAGGGTTGGTAAATTCAAGGTGTTATGGCCGGTTGCTACAGATCCACCATGTAGAGAGTGTCACAGGCTGATTTTGAAGCGGACCTGGTTCCATTTCACCTCTGCAAAGTTGCCTGTCTCTTGGTATTGCAAGGGACAGATATTAATTGCATTCCTCACAGAACTAGTGAAAGCAATCCTAAAATTTATCGGAACCAGAAGAGACCAAGAATAGCAAAAACAATCCTGGGCGACCAAGGCAAGGCAGGGGCATCACCATCCCTGAATTGAAATTACACTACAGAGCTGCTTTCATTTAAAAAACAAAACAAAACAAAGCAGTATGATTATAAAACAAGACAGAAAACCCCTGCTGCAAGGGATGGGGATGTTGCCCAGTGGTAGAGTGCTGCAGACTCGAGGGTCAGTGGAACAGATTGGAAGATGTGGAAACAACCCACACACACTTGGCCGCCTGCTCTTTGACGAGGGACAGAATGTTAGGAAAAGGAAGTGAGACTTGGGAGAGGAGGGACCAGTGAGACGGCCATGGGACCTTCAGTGGGCAGCAGAAGGGAGAGGCGATGGGACCCTGGGGGCCTGGACTCGGGTGACACCGTGAAGAGGGGAGGGCGCAGACTAGATGTGGGAGAGGGCCTGCGGGCAGAGAGGGAATTGGGTTGAGTTCTTGATGAGCTGAACTCTGCGTTGCTGGGTGTCAGCGGGAAAAGTCCATCCCTTGGGCCCCTGGCAGTGTGACAGAGGCAATTCACTCAGCACATTTTAGTCTGGGCTTACTGCATCTCCCTTTCCTAAAATCCTGGTTATCACCTGAGGTGTATAATGTCCGGTGCCACAAGGATACTGGCCTTTTCCATTGAATGCTTGTCTCTCCTAAAGTTCCTTCAGGTCCCTTTGCATCCAGTCGTCCTGCTCCACCCCACACCCTGCTAACTGCTAGTTTTTTGTCTGTATAGTTCTGGCGCCTGTGAAATATCATAGAAATACAATTGTTCAGTATACAGCTTTTTCTGTTTGTTTGGCTTGTTTCACTCAGTTTTACAGTT